TGGAGATGGGCCCAGAATTCAAGCGTCCTTTTTCGCCAGTGTGTTAATAACTGTTGTTAAGAATTTTTACAAATCTCGGCTAATTAAGATTAATACATTGACCAAAAATAAAAACAAAGGATATCTCCTGCCGACCATAATAACTGGGAACCCAAGCATCATTTCCAAATATATCACAATGTCTAGATCAGTCAAGCGTTTGGCAACGTAGTTAGGGAAAGTTTTGCCAAACTCCGTCATGAGACGGCATATATTCTTTATCGTGTCTTCACCAGACTCTACAGAAGATAGAAAGTATCAGTTAATAAGCCATTACCGTTGTTGCGACGATAAGTATAAAACGTAGAATGTTATATCTTCTCTACCACTAAGGCTTTTGCAATTCTTGATCTTGTCCATTCACTAATAAAACATCTCGTCATCATATCACAGAAAGTATCTTGAATTAAAGTTACTGACGACTGATCTAAGGACCGAATTAATACTTCTGTTGCTGCTTTATGTGTTTCTTCACATGAAAATAATTCGATAGCATTACTAATCAAGGGCAGGAGAGATCTAAAAATTAAATACGACGTTTTGTCAACAAAGTAAAATCCAATAATCAACCTTGTAGCCTGGAATTTTCGGAAAACTTACTTAAATGGCACATCGTACGTTAGCCAGCTTCCAAACACAGAAGGCTCTTCTGCCTTAACAGAATACTTCGTTGCGATTGATCGTTTTGAACGAGAAAAGACTGTAACGTCGACATTACCAACGGAACCGCATCTGTAATTTCTTTTGAACGCTCGTCCTGAATCAACAAGCCACGTAAATATAAATTCATACACTGACCCACCCCATTAGCCAACATTCCATTATAGTTACCCCTGATTGTCAATGAAAACGGCGGTCGAAACTTCCTTCGGCAATACAGTCAAATATTCCAATAACAGTAGCTCCATGGCTAGATCTTGCCTCCCGTATGCTGATTGGAGGTACTGAAACAGCTCCGCTATACAATCCGCCCAAACGCTGGGTATGGATTGATTGTGTATGTCGCTAGCTAGGAGAAATAGTATTAAATGAGAATTCACAAAGACCATTTTGACATAAGTTACGTGGACCGATAGAAAAAAAGTGTGTTACCGCGATCGATAGCTCTGTTATGACAGTTGATGGGCCGTTGGAGAAGTGAATCAACAGACGAATTAGCGCCATATTTTGCGTTCTCCGGCAAGGACTTCCTAAAAAGTATCTGGTCTATTAACAGGATATTGTAGAGGACGAAACGGGACAACGGATTGATCAAGACAGACAACCTACCAGTCTCTGGAAATCTTGACCTGGAAAGTAAAAACTGAGTGTTTTCGTCCTGATAAATTTGGAATTAGGAGAAATAGTAGTAATCACTACCGTCGTTAGCCCAAAAGCTAAGCTGATTACGTACCCTTGAGCGTAACAACTGGGAGGCTAAGTCCCATGCATATTGTTGCTTTGAAAAATCCTGTAGATACTCGCGGTTTTCGTTTTTACAAAACTGTTGTATTGCCTACATCATGCATAAATTATATAGTAAATGATAATCATATTTGGATTAACATATTAGCGCGTCTAACCATCACAGCAGTTACCATATGTGGTAAGTCCTAGAGATTACGTAACATTTATCCAATGAAATGCTTTGAAATAATAGCGTGGTGTGATCTTTATTAAAACTTTCCCGGTAAGGAATTAGTTTGTTAGTACATTTTCGAGGATATTTTAGTGTATCGCACGCAACATACTGATTGACGAATTCGAGAGTATGTTTTTTGTAATCCGCTTCACGTATTATTTTTGCATATCGTTTGGCTACATTCCTAATAATGTTCAATAAAAAGTGAAAACATACGAACGTTGGTCTGAGTTCCGACTAATACTAATGCCGAACTTTGAATCAAAAAATCTAGTCGTAAAGATATAAATGTTCTTTATATCGAGAAACTTTGTCTAGTTTATCAACCATAAGTTTTATTCTTTTTCCCAAATTTTGAAATAACTTTTACATGCGCTTATTTTACGTAAAATTAATTTGTTAATTTAAGGATAGACATTGGTTGCAGAGAACCCATAAGCAAGTTGGTGTGTATAAACCATGCAAAATCTACACTTGCCATAAATAATCGTTCATATGAGCGAAGTAGACGTTTACCGCGGAATGATGGGTCGGAATCAAAGTCATCAGGGAAATTCCACATTCATTAAATAGTGCAAGTACATGATAAAAAAGGATTTCTGGACCTGGATATTGGTACGCACTTAGTTATTAGTAGAAAACCGGACTCATACCCATCTTTCTTACTATGCATGTGTTGTACCTCAGTTGGGAACCTGTCTCAGTTCTGGACTGAGTGTCTGGGTTCTGGACTGAGCAAACTGAGTTCTGGACTGAGACAAGTCCTGAACTCAGACGCAACACATGTATTAGTTAGATAGTACCAATAATTGTCAATTTCCATCTAGTTAAAAGTAGGAGAGCCACACTTTGCTCGAAATTAGCTAAGTTCCTAGAGTCGATAATCAACCGATCTCCCGTAATTGTTGTTATTTGTATACTTTAACTTTTTGTATAAGTGTGTTACAAAAACGAAAGAAAGCTTTTGTCGTGTCAACCAATCACGGGAGAGCAGATGATGATCAACACGGTTTGAGATTCAGCTTAGGCCTTCGAAAGTGCGTGGCTCACCTCGTGCGTTCAGCTGAAAATACTACACAACAGTTAGTGACCTACTATTTCCAAGTTAGGCTTTTAACTACTAGCAATCTTTATGCGTCGTAGACTCTAAACCTAGATAACCAATCACTCTCGAGATCAATAATAATCACTATCGCTCTGGGATTAAGTAGCGAGTCGTCGAAAGGGAGTAGCTTTGTAAATTTGAATACGCGTATTGCTTATTACGAAATGATTAGCTATCCTAAATGCCACTCAGTCAATCGCGGAACAAGATGAACGATTAACCTTGCCGTTATACGGTTTAAAGATTTACAAATATAACGGTTATTTAGGAAAAGAATTATGTTTTCAGAGTAAATGGATACTCGTTTATTGTTAAGAAATAATAATATAATAAAAGGAAACGAACGGAGTAGAAGAAGCCGACATAGTAGAAGGAGTAAGGGAAGTAATGATCATCGAACGTAATCAAGAAAGCGAAGCGATGTCGGTTGAAAAGTTGCGAAGGAAGCGTAGAAGGAAGTTGAAAAAGGAATTCGAACGAGGAAAGAAGAGTTTGCGAACGAAGTTTGACATGGACGAAGCATATTTCTTAGGAGAGTTGATCGAGCAAAATGGATTAGCAGGCTCGACGACCGCAGCTACGTACCTGGGAAAATATTGGCGAAAAGTTGTTCTCTCTGTTTATCACTACAACAAAGAACGTTCAGACTGGAACGACACTCTCACGCACGGCGATTACTACAATATGAAGTTGGAAAGAAAGTACCGGTCGAAGAAACCTAGTTCGGAATAGGGGGGATACTGTGATGACGTTGCAGTGGGCGATGACGTATTCCTCTCTAGATTTCTGCGGTACCCGTTAGTGTCACCAGGATTTCA